CCCCGCGGCGCATCGGTAGATCGCGCGCCCGCCCGTCGCCCACACCACTGAGGCGTGCATCGCGCTGCCCCCCATTGACCTTCGCCTCCACCGCCGCCGCCAGAGCTCGGCCGTGCCAGTGGCGCATCTCCAGCCTCTGCGTGCACCTGGGCCGCCAGAAGACCCACGCGCCGATCTCGCAGTTCCCCCCCGTCGGCCTGCCGCGCGCCAGCAGCGCCGCTCGCGCGGCGCGCGAGCAGTTGGCCTCGATGAGAGGCTGCATCGGCGGCCGCCCCCCTGATCATCATCTCGCGCACCTCGCTCTCGGGGTCGACCAGCGCGGCCTGATCCGACAGGCCGAAGTCCTCGTCGCAGAGGGCGACCGGAATCTTGGGCTGCGCCCCCAACGCCAGCGCCGCGGGCGAGAATCCGCGCGCGCCCCCCGGGGCGCCCCGCAAGCCGGCGGCCATCCCGAGGGCGGTCTTGAGCGAATCGTCGGGGGACTGCAGATGTCATTCGCTGAGCTGCCCCCTCCGGACCGCGCGGCCCCGCCCCATCAGGCCCAGCCTGTGGCGCGCACCCTTCGGGGCCAGGTCGAACTTGACGCCGCGCCTGCTCGACCACGCGCGCGCTCGGCCGCGCGCGAGCCCCGCGCGCGCATCCGCATCGCCTCGCGCTTGCCGGCCCATCTGATCCAGGGCTTCCCCAATAGCTTCGCCCCCTTCAGGAACGTCTCCTTCGAGATCGGGCAGTCGACCTCGCAGCGCGCAAACTCGCCCACGATGGCCGGGATATTCCTCTCCTTCTTCTTCCCCGCGACGCAGCCCACGTCGGCGTAGACCACCTTGTCAAACCCGCTGGCCCTCGGCAGCACTGCGACGCGAACTGCTCGGGGCCTCTGCCTGCCTAAGCATATCTCGCACTGGAAGCGCCCAGCGCGCTGGATCCACTCCACTGGGACACCCGCATGCTGCGCGGCAACAGCCAGCGCTGCGTTCGAAGGGGGGCCAAGGCTGACGCGCGCTTGACCGCTCGGATCGTCGATATGTTGATCCGCCCCATCAGCTCCTGCATCACATCGGCGCACTCGATGGCGCCGACGTCGCCGACGTCGCCGACGTCGCCGGCCATGCCCTGGTAGACGGTCAGGTGGGCCATCCTATTCGGCCACCTGTCTCGGGTAGTTCTGAGCCCACTGAGCGAGCTCGCCTCGCAGAATCACGCGGCCCCCCGCGCGCGCGCATGCCAGGTTCACGCGGTGAATCAACTCCATGTTGGTCGACTGCAGTCTCGCGGGCTGCTCGCAAGACATGTCCTCGCCCTGGACCGCGAACTTCGCCTCCAACCTGCACCGGTCGAGCCCGCAGCGATACCCCGGCAATTTCTCCCGCGCATTCGTCCGCCAGAGTAGCCCCCGTCACGGGGCCCCCACAAGCGCGCGTCGGCTTCCGTTCTGCTGCATCACAAACGCCGCCCACTGGCACCATTGATCTCCTCGGCCCGCCCCTCGGAGATCACCTCGTTCACGCGCTGCTCGGAGCGCCAGCATTTGCAGGGGGGGGCGAAGAAGATGTCGTCGGGCTCGTCGCGATCGACCTCGATCGGGAAGTCGCGGACCACGGCGGGCCCGGGGAAACCCCAGCCGTCATCGCTCCTGAACTGGAGCACCTCGATCTGCGGAAACTCGACCAGCTCCTGCGACAAGGCCCCCTGGTCCACGAAGACCTCCCAGGCCATCCGCTCGCGCGGCCCTCGCAGCGCGCCCTGCACAGCGGACTCCGCCCGCCCCAGCGCCAGGGCCAGGCCCGAGCAGGTGTCCGCGTCCATCAGGGGGCGACCACCTCCGTGGCCGGGGCCCCATCGCCGCACCGATCTCGCGAAACCCCGTCCGCGTCTCGAGGTGCAGGGCGTCGGGGTCTGGCGCCGACGAGCCCTCGTCGTCGCCTTCGTCGCCCTTGACCAAACCTCCTTCAATGTCATTGTCCGTCAAATCGCCGCCGCTGCCATATTCGTCGGCGGGGGCCATCTCGCGCGCGGCATCTTCGGCGTCGCGCCCAGTTTCACCCAACACGTCCATGATGAAATGTACCTTCTCATCGCGCTCTGAGTTCATCCAGCCCTCGTCGGGAAGATCCTTCCTCGCGCGCGTTCCAGCTCGGCGGCCCTGGATCAAACCCACCCCTCCACGCAGGGTCGCGCGATCAGCAGCGGCGCCCAGCCCTCGGCGAGAAGGATCGCGATCTGCTTCTTGACGCCAGACAGCCACGCCGTCAGCGGCACCGATTGCTCGGCCTCCAGCGCCATGCCGCCTCCGAAACGACAGCGCCGAACACTCTTGCCACGTTCGACCTCATGCAACAACTGCATCGAACGAAATAGCCCCTCGCACTGCATCCACGCCTCGTCGCCCATGACGGGTCGCGCGGCACATCCGTCGCCGATGCCCTTGCCTGCGGTGAACAGGACAACCTCCTCGGTCGAGTTGGCACTCCCCAGCGTCTCGACATCCCCCACCAGGCGCGCCTCGCCCTCTGGTTTAGCGAAGCCACCGCGCCTGAAGCGCTTGAACCTCGGGCCACGCTGCTGGGTGGAACCCGATGCAGTCGGAGTCGAACCCGATGGCATCGATGGTGCACCCTTACCAAACGCTACCTTCTGAGGCGGGAAGGCGTCCCGTCGTGGTGGGCCAAATCCTTCCACGTCCTTTACTTTTGCCACGTCCTTTGCCTTGCCAGCGCCTGGTCTCGTTGCTCTCGCGGGTCCTGCGCGGCCGTCGCGCTGGTAGTTGTTCTCGGGGGCGAGGGCGACGATCGGGTAGAATCTTTGGCCTCGGCGATCTCCGCCACGCACATCTTCGCGTCCACGAATCCAAGGCAAGCCTCGTCGTACGCCGCCTGGGCCTCCTCGACCCCCCGCGGCAGCTCCTCCGCGACGGCCGCCTCCTCCTCACGCTCGTCGTAATCGTACTCCTCGTCGTCCGCGTAGTCTTCCTCCTCCAGACATGTAGCACAGGCCTCGCCTGCACTCGCAATCGTTCGCGTAGTTCACGTCGTCCTTCAAGTTCTGTCCGACCAGCATCTTCTGTGCTCGTTTAACATCGCGCTTGTCGGGCATAGCTTCGGCCCCGTACCTGTCGAGCAGTGCTTTCTTCATTGTCGCCCAGCAGAGGCCGCTCACGCATTGACAGCGAACCGCGGCGGCGCCCGACGGCGGGGCAGCCGTTCGCGCGAGGAGGTGCCAGCCCGCAAACATGTCTGGGATCACCACCCCGACCTCCTCGAGTTTCCTGAAGTCTCTCTCGCGGCGAAGGCAGCACAGCTTCATCGTATCCTTTTATTGGCGAGCGGACTTGCCGAGAAAGAGATCTGCACGGGCTGGCAGTACGGTCTGGTTGTGGCAATTGTAGTATTCGTCCAGCACCTAGAACAATGGCCTGAAAGCCTCCTCTGCCTCTAGCACGTACAGGTCGATGTCGTCCGTAGCCTCCGCGGCCTCACATTGCAGAAAGCTCATGACCAGAAACGTTCCCTCGCTGACCGCGGTGGTGCCGCGCATCCTGCAACACCGCTCGAAAACCTCTAGCTTGCGTCGAAAGACTCGATCACCGTCGGTCCCCAGCAACTCGTAACTCGGCGTCGTCTTGGACAGTGCAGCGTCCAACCCTCGTCCTCCCCCGTCCCAGGCGGAACTCTCCTGTCGGGCCCACCAACCTTGCCAGCCAATCCAATCCGTATAGTTGGCCTCGTCCGCGTCCACGCTGCTTGGCGGGATGCATCTCTCCTCCGCACCGGTGTCGGCGGGAGCGGCGGCGGCGGCCGAGGCCGCCAGCGGGCCGCCTGGCGGCGGTTTGGCCGGGGGCAGCGCGCGGGGCGCGCCGTTTGGCATGGCGGCGACGGGCGAACCAGAGAAAGTGGATCTCTGGCAACACACGAACTCTCCTCGGGAAGTGTTCGATTGAACTGATTATCTTGACAATCGTATCAACTCGTAAGATACGCAACCTTTTACCTGACTCAAGGGCCCCTGAACATCAAATGGCAATGGTACAGACACATGTGAAGCAACTGCTTGCAACACAGCATGTTGCTGAAACTGCTGAACTATGCTAATACACAAGAACACACGAACATAACTCGATACAACTGGGGTTGTATTGACAGGGGGCTCCTTGGTGCTGGCCATCTTGGGACGGTCTTGGGTAACGCTTGCCGCTCTACGGGGTATCGTCTGACTCATCCTGGGCCCTCTTGGCGCCATTTGGAGCCACAGAAACAGAACAACCAAAAATTGTGGAAAATCAACGAGTGCTTGACTCATTTGGGCTGTTTGGGAATCCTTGTCGAGCCGTCTTGTGGCGCCTTGAGGCCATCCTGGAGCCTCTTTGGCCATACAGGGCTCTCCCGTACGACAGGTTCGTGTCGCGACGACCCCAGCGCTGGCTTCTAACACCGAGTGGATCGTTCAACCATAAACGATCGGCGGCGTTTCGATCGCCAGATCGTTCCATATTGGCCGACTCTGGGCTGCTGGCGGCACTAAACCTTGAACGCCCCCGGGGGGGTCGCTGCCGCGTCGGCACGACACGAGCCCCCCGCAATCATCCTTTTGCTGTGCTGCTCTGACCACCCTCGCGCTTGAGCCCAGGAAACCACAGCAGCTGCCAGCACAGGGGCGGCCCAGAGAAAGCTGTCGCTGGCCAGGTCGGCGGGCCAGCGATCGCATCGCGTGAACGCGAGCGGTGTCAATGGGCAGAGCTCGGCAGAAACGACACTGGAGAACGTGCTAAAAGGAAAAACATGTTCACAGGCCGTCGCGCATGACCGCCAAACGCGCTGTGCAGCGGGCTCATGATCCCTGGCGGCGTTCTGCATGACCAGCGCGGTGACTGCCCTGAGCGCCCCGAGCGCCGCAGCGTCGGCCGGCTCGGCGCGCACGTGCAGCCAGCCCGCGGACACCCGAACACCGCGGAGCGGCGCCGCCCGTCCTGGCATCTCTGCTTGATCCTTCTGGCCTGCCACCTCTTACTTTCTGGCTGCTAGCAGCCGCTCGAAGGCGTAGCGGAACATCTGCGCCGGCAGCCCGTAGTAGCATCGCTCAGGCACATGCTCCCAAGAATACATCAACATCAGGTAGTTGGGAACGCCCACAGCGTCGAGCCTCTCCTTGAGCAGCACCGCCTGCCCATAAGGAATCGAAATATCTGAGGTGCCATGTATAGACAACGTCGGGGGACTGCTGGCTGACACGTAACTCACTGGCGACGCTATCCGCTTTCCATCCTCGTCGCACCCGGCCGTAAGGTCGTCGTAAGTGTTGCCGCCATCGCGGCAACCGAAACCATCAAGGCCTGAAATGTCGGTGACGCCATAGAGATTAGTGATGGATTTGATGCCCGAGTAGTCGCCACCATTGGAATAGTTGTCGCTAGTGAGGGCGTAGCCCATGAGGAGGGACAAGTGCCCCCCAGCGGATCCGCCCATGAGGTGAACGGACGTTCTGTCGAAGTGCCAATTCGGTGCGTTTGCCCACACATAGTCGTAAGCATCCCGCAAATCAGAGACTATGTCCATGACGTTGTAGCCGTGGCAAGTAAGCCTGTACTGCATGGACACGACTGCGTATCCACGCTCCAAGAAGTAAGCAAGGTTGCTCCATCCGCCACACACTTCGCTCTTGTCGCCTTGCGTCCATCCTCCGCAGTGTATGTGAAAGATGATCGGTGCCAACTCAGTGTCGCTCGTGCAGCTGCTGGCTTCCATGCACGCCTCCGGGAAATAGACATCCATCGCCAAGTGCGTCGCCCATGGCCGCTCGCAGTCGTCCCTCGGCGGGACTGTCGGCAGCCCTGTCTTGAAAATGAACTCCTGCCTTCTCTCGCCCGACGGCGCACCGTACGGCCCGCTGATCGACGTTCCCATTAGCAGCCACTCCCAGAAAGAGAATGATGCTCTGCTAGGGGACGGCGGGCTGCTGGTTCCGAATGTATTTTCGAGCGCCCCACCGTTCAAATCGCGAATCTGGGGATACATGATCATGATTGGTAATGTGATGAGAAGCGTGAATACACAGACCAGGCAATGTGAGATCATCGTGAACCGATTGCAACTGCCAAGGTACGTGGTGCGGGAGCTGGGCTCGGTTCCTTGCTCGGCGCTGTGCTTCGGGGCAATACACTGAAGGTGCACCGTGCAACAAGTCGCCAGCGGTAAATAAGTGACAAACACCATCAATAAGCATATCCCTCCAAACAAAGCATGGGATGCTGCAGAAACACCTCCAATCGGGGAGTAGTGCGATACCGCAATGACTCCGAGGAAAACAAGAACCAATATAAGCGGGATTCGGTTGCACCGCACGGCGCAAAGGAAACAGCAGCAACACAAATTGTTGCCGCACTGTAGATTACCTACACCGCAACGGCACTCCTCAGGCGTGCTCAGAGGGTCGAGCTGTGTAGAGTGGTACGCAGCCACAGGGGAATTCAGGCCTGCAGGTTCAACTGCGACAGGACTTCCAACTATCTGAACTGAGGGCTGGTAGCCGCCAAAACCCGTGACCGGGGCCTCTCCCATGCCAGCCATCGCGGAGCTCGCTTGCGAATAACCCGCCGTTGGGGCGCATCTAATCTGCAAAACACACAAACCTACAATGTGGGTGTGGTGGAATTCCGGTTCTGGTTCCGGTTTCGGTTATGGTTTCGGTTCTGGTTTCTGTTCCAGTTTCGGTTCCCGTTCCGGCTCTGGTTCCCTTCTTTTTTTCGGGGGTCCTGAGAAATACCCCCCTGGTCACCGCTCTGGTTCAAAATCTGGTTCCCGTTTCCTTTTTCTCTTTCTGGCTTGGGGAAAAAACGTCGGGTTTGGTTTTGGTTTTGGTTCTGGTTCTCGTTTCCTTTTCATTCCGGCCTCGAATATCGACACCGAACCACGGTTCTAGATCCAATTCTGGCTCTGGTTCTGGTTTTCTTCTTCTTCCGGCCTCGAAGAAGACCCCGCTGGTCCCGGTTGTGGTTCCAATTCCAGCTTCCTTTTTCTGGCCTCGAAGAAAAGCTCCGCAAGTCACTGTTCCGGTTCTGGTTCCAGATCCGGTGTCCTTCTTCTTCCGGCGTCGAAGAAAACCTCCCTGGTCACGGTTCTGGTTCCGATTCTGGTTCGTGTCCTGGTTTCGTTCTTCTTCTAGCCTCGAAGAAGACCACAAAGTCACGGTTCCAATTCTGGCTCTGGTTCTGGTTCAGGTTTGCTTTTTCTTCCGGCCTGAAGACCCCGCTGGTCACGGTTCCAGTTCGGGTTCCAGTTGTTTTTTCTTCGGGCTTCGAAGAAGACCCCCCAGTCGCTGTTCCAGTTCCGTCTCCAGTTTCCTTCTTCCAGCGCCGACGAAGAACCCCTCTGATCACGGTTCTGGTTGAGGCTCCTGTTCCAATCCCGATGTCCTTTTTCCTCTGGTCTCGAAGAAGTTCCCCCAAGCAACTGTTGCCCAAGACCTTCTCAAGCCAAACTTGAAAAATCCTTATACTCAACTCGGCTACCCAAGTTTTCAAAGCTTTCGAGTACAACATGCACCACCCGATACTCAACAGGCCCCCTCCCCGAACCATTATTCGAAAAACTCCTTCTACCCAATTCCTTCCGTGTACAAAAACAGCAACACAACACCCAACAACCAGCAACCTTTGTGCACGACACCGCACCTGATACTCAACAAACTCCCTCCCCATGACAAATCGGAACAATCCTTCTACTCAAATCGTTCCGCGTCCAACAAACAACATCCAGGCATTCCACAGCGATCACACCACCAAATACTCAACAGAGTTGTTCCCCACGCCGTACTTGAAACCGTTTTGACCTTAGCTCCCTCCGTCTCCAACACAACATCCAGATACTCCACAACCTTCTTGTACAACACACCACCCGAAACTACACAGGCCCCCTTCCCCAAACCAAACTTACAAAAAAATCAATTCGACTCCCCAAATGTCCAACACAACATGCACATGTACAACACACACCACCCGATACTCAACGAGCTCCCTCGCAAAGCCTAATTTGCAAAATCATTGTATTCAACTACTTCTGTGCAACACAACACCCACGTACCCAACAGCCTTCGTGCACAACACACCACCCAATACTCAACAATCTCCATCCCAAAGCCTACCTTGGAAAAGTACTTTTTCTCGATTCCCTCCGTGCGTAACGCACACAACACCCAAATAATCCACAGCCTTCATGACCAACACACCAGCCGATGCTCAACAAGCTCCGTCCCCAAAACGATTTTTTGATAATGTTCAACCCCCTCGGTGTTGAGCACAACACCCAAATACTCCACAACAATCGTGTACGACAAACCACCCGGTATTTAACAGGATCCCTTCCCAAGCCTGACTCGAAAACATGTCCTTTTTCGTAACTCCCTCCGCGTACTACAACACAGTGGTATCCAAAAGCCTTCGGGTACAACACACCAGCCGACACTCCAGAACATCCCTCCCCAATCCTAACTTGAACAACTCCTTCTCCTCAACTCCAACTGAAAAAAACACGACCTGAGGACTCCACCGCCTTCTTGTACGAAACCGCACCCGATACTCAAAAGGCCCCCATCCAAGAGCCTACCACAAAAAAAACATGTTACTCACGCCACCCGCCCGTCTCCAACACAGCACCCAGGTACTCGACAGCCTTCGTGACCAACACACGAACCGACACCCAACAGGCTCCATCCCCAAGCCTAATTTGGTAAAAGCCTTCCTACTCAACTCCTTCCGTGCCAGGAACACCACCCAAATACTCAACATTTTTCGTGTACTAGACGCCACCGGATACTCAACAGGCCCCCCCAAATCCGTGTTCGAAAATATCTTTCTGCTCGATTCCCTCCGTGTCTAAAACAATACCCAAGCACTCCACAGTCTTCGCGTCCAACACTGCGCAAGATACTCAAGTGGCTCCCTCCCCACTCCGTAGATGAAATATATTCGATTCAATCTCTCCGTGTATAACACAACACCCAGATAATCCACCACCTTCGTGTACAACGCACCACCAAATACTCCACAGGTCCTTTCTCCAAGCCTGCTTTTAAAAATATGTTACTGCTCTTAGGTCGGGCATGTCATCCTACAGGCGGAAGTTGGAAGAAACCCAAAAATAATACATACAGATTCAAAATAAACAAAAATCGAATAGGAAAATAGTCCCCCGACTACTTTTGGACAATTTTGGAATATTCCTCCTGTAGACGGGCATGCACAACTTGATACTACTCAAGTGTATCCTTGTCAAACACAACACCTCGGTGCTCCATACTCAGTATACAATACACCACCGGATACTGAACAGGCTCCCCCCATGCATGACTTAAACAACTCCTTCTACTCAACTCCCTCCGTGTACACGACAACACCCAAGTACTCCACAACGATCGCGTAAAACATGCCACCCGATACTCAACAAGCCTAACTTGAAAACGTCCTACTCAGCTCCCTCCGTGTCCAACACAACACCCAAGTACTCCACAGCCTTCGTGTACAACACACGACACACAACCAGATGCACAACAGGCCCCCTCCCCAAACCTGCCTTGAAAATTAGCCTGGCGAAGGACCCAACCATATGCAGTTGTGAATGCCGCAATTGTGCTGGGTGGTGGCGGACGCATGCGGGCGGTGTCACTGGGACCTTCGGTGGAGCTCCCTATGGGGCCACGAGACGCTGTACTGGGTGGGTGAGACGCGGTCAGCAAGGGCTGTGCTGCGTGGTGGCGGACGCATGCGAGCGGTGCCACTGGGACCTTCGGTGGAGCTCCCTATGGGGCCACGAAACGCTGTACTGGGTGGGTGAAACGCAGGCAGGGAGCAAGGGCTGTGCAGGGTGGTGGCGGACGCATGCGGGCGGTGCCGCTGGGACCTTTGGTGGAGCTCCCTATAGGGCTACGAAGCGCTGTTCTGGGTGGGTGAAGCGCAGGGAACAAGGGCTGTGCTGGGTGGTGGCGGACGCAAGCGGGCAGTGCCACTGGGACCTTTGGTGGAGCCCCCTATGGGGCCACGAAACGTGCGAGGGGTGTGCCAGAATGGGGTGTGGAACCGCATGCCAGCGCAGCCACTGGGGCCTTCGGTGGAGCTCCCTATGGAGCCACGAAACGTGTGAGGGGTGTGCCGAAATGGGGGGTGGAACCGCATGCGGGCGCAGCCACTGGGGCCTTCGGTGGAGCTCCCTATGGGGCCACGAGACGTGTGAAGGGCGTGCCGAAAAAGGGGGTGGAACCGCATGCGAGCGCAGCCACTGGGGCCTTCGGTGGAGCTCTCTATGGGGCCACGAACCGTGTGAGGGGCGTGCCGAAATGGGGGGGGACCACATGCGAGCGCAGCCACTGGGGAGTTCGGTGGAGCTCCCCATGGAGCCACCCACGAAGCGTGTGAGGGGTGTGCCGAAATGGGGGGTGGAACCGCATGCGGGCGCAGCCACTGGGGCCTTCGGTGGAGCTCCCTATGGGGCCACGAAACGTGTGAGGGGTGTGCCAGAATGGGGGGTGGAACCGCATGCGGGCGCAGCCACTGGGGCCTTCGGTGGAGCTCCCTATGGGGCCACGAAACGTGTGAGGGGTGTGCCAGAATGGGGGGTGGAACCGCATGCGGGCGCAGCCACTGGGGCCTTCGGTGGAGCTCCCTATGGGGCCACGAAACGTGTGAGGGGTGTGCCAGAATGGGGGGTGGAACCGCATGCGGGCGCAGCCACTGGGGCCTTCGGTGGAGCTCCCTATGGGGCCACGAAACGTGTGAGGGGTGTGCCAGAATGGGGGGTGGAACCGCATGCGGGCGCAGCCACTGGGGCCTTCGGTGGAGCTCCCTATGGGGCCACGAAACGTGTGAGGGGTGTGCCAGAATGGGGGGTGGAACCGCATGCGGGCGCAGCCACTGGGGCCTTCGGTGGAGCTCCCTATGGGGCCACGAAACGTGTGAGGGGTGTGCCAGAATGGGGGGTGGAACCGCATGCGGGCGCAGCCACTGGGGCCTTCGGTGGAGCTCCCTATGGGGCCACGAAACGTGTGAGGGGTGTGCCAGAATGGGGGGTGGAACCGCATGCGGGCGCAGCCACTGGGGCCTTCGGTGGAGCTCCCTATGGGGCCACGAAACGTGTGAGGGGTGTGCCAGAATGGGGGGTGGAACCGCATGCGGGCGCAGCCACTGGGGCCTTCGGTGGAGCTCCCTATGGGGCCACGAAACGTGTGAGGGGTGTGCCAGAATGGGTGTGGGAGGGGGAGAAGGGGGGAGGAAGGGGAGGAAGAGGAAGGAGGAGGAGGAACGCGGGGCAACGTCTCTTCGAAACGAGGACCCAACACCACAGGATGGTTGGGAAAAATGTTAGATTCAATTCCCTCCGTGCCCAACAAAACACCCAGGTACTCCACAACTTTCGTGTCAAACACCGCATCCAATACTCAACAGGCTCCCTCTCCAAACTTAACTTGAAAGAATCGTTCTGCTTGCTCCATCCGTGTACAACACAACACCCAGGTACTCCACAGCCTTCGTGTGCGACACAGCACCCCATACTCAACAGACTTCCTTCCCGCAAATTGA